TTGTATGGGCGTTTTTTTATTCCCATGTTGGCTACGCCGTAATATGCAACCACTTCCCCGTTTTATGTGATTTTGAGTGTTTAATGATGTCTTCCTCACCCGTCACGCCATGACCCAGTTTCAACCACACAGCCATTTTGCAACACAGTTAGTGACCCTCGGCGTCACCCGACTGACTATATGAGCGTTCTGTTCAACTGTTAAGCTAGGATTTATTACCGTTATTATCATTATATTGTCACGCGATTTTTTTTACCTTATGTGTAATGTCTTAAAGGCCCAGGTATACTATAAATACGCTCCTAAACAATAGGGATTATTTCCTTGCTTGTTACGCTGTAGTAAACAGCTCCAGCCAAGCTCCAGTAAAAACGCGTTTTCTCGAACTTACATGTCTATTATGTCGTGCCAAAGTGGATGCATGTGACTATGAATATCACAGCAGTGACTGTGTGTAGTATTTATGACAATAAATAGTGTACGAGCTGAGATTTTGGCGGATAAAAGTAAAAAACATGAACCGGGGAAAGGGATGCGCGACTAATCTTGAATAATTACTATTGTCAATCAAAGTCACGTGATGTTGGACCGCTGGAACAGGATGCGTCATAGGCTATGCAAGTGTTTACTACCATGCATTAGAATAGCCACACCTCCAATTCACACTTGCCCGGGGCAAGTGAATTGGGCCTTTAAGTATCTTTATTGTAATTTGTATATACCAATTCGTATATACCGAGGAAACGACCCCGATTGAAGGTCATGTATTTTATGACGTCACCAATTCGTGTGTAGGTACTGCTTCTAGATCTGTGCCTATTCCAGTCCTTTTATATATATATATGCTGAAAGAATTCACGCACACGGGTGGTAAGAATCTGGCAGGTCTGACAGTTTAATAAGGTTTGTAGAAAATTCCTGAGTAGTGCAGGTGAAATTCTGTTTTGTGTGGTTGCGACCATACCGTTTCTATTCGGTCGTGTACTTTAGTGACTTGCGAGTCACGTGTCAGACTGCTTGGCCCTTCCACACGTGACAATCGCTGTCTGCCATCTTGAGTTATTTTACCTTTTGTTAATAATCTATGCTATGCTGTATTATTATGTAAAGCCACAAACAGCCAACCTTAACCGTGAAGACTCAGCACAGGGAAATATTGAACCAAGAGATGTCTAACAACTTTTACACTGTGTGGCTTCAATGGACGCACTTGGTACTTTGCAACAATCATTGATTGGGTTATCTATTCTACTTGTGGCCAAGAGTTTTAACCATATAAAAAATATTTCCACAGTTCTCCAAAAAGATATAGGTTTGCAGGTCATTGCTTGTGAGCTAGATATGGAGTCAAAAAGAGAAAAGACCAAAAGTGAACAACTCAAATCACGCCTTGGCTTGTTTATTCTGACTTTACTCCCTAAATCACGTACCTTGCACAAACACGGTCGTAACAACTCAAATCACGCCTTGGCTTGTTTATTCTGACTTTACTCCCTAAATCACGTACCTTGCACAAACACGGTCGTAACAACTCAAATCACGCCTTGGCTTGTTTATTCTGACTTTACTCCCTAAATCACGTACCTTGCACAAACACGGTTGTAATAACTCAAATCACGCCTTGGCTTGTTTATTCTGACTTTACTCCCTAAATCACGTACCTTGCACAAACACGGTCGTAACAACTCAAATCACGCCTTGGCTTGTTTATTCTGACTTTACTCCCTAAATCACGTACCTTGCACAAACACGGTCGTAACAACTCAAATCACGCCTTGGCTTGTTTATTCTGACTTTACTCCCTAAATCACGTACCTTGCACAAACACGGTCGTAACAACTCAAATCACGCCTTGGCTTGTTTATTCTGACTTTACTCCCTAAATCACGTACCTTGCACAAACACGGTCGTAACAACTCAAATCACGCCTTGGCTTGTTTATTCTGACTTTACTCCCTAAATCACGTACCTTGCACAAACACGGTCGTAACAACTCAAATCACGCCTTGGCTTGTTTATTCTGACTTTACTCCCTAAATCACGTACCTCGCACAAACACGGTCGTAACAACTCAAATCATGCCTTGGCTTGTTTATTCTGACTTTACTCCCTAAATCACGTACCTTGCACAAACACGGTTGTAACAACACTGGGGATTTGATACAGTCTCTGGCGCCATTCCTATGGCTTCTAACTTAAACAAAAGATTAACTCCTCTGACCTATAGGTGGCGCTCACACAACATCTTCAAAATATCTAAAATTGATGACTTTACGTACATTACATATTGATTAACAGTTGCATATCAGTCCTCATAAATCATATGGTCGCTAGTCAATGGACTTTTTATTCCCGGTGTTTTATCTGAAATGCAATGTATGAGGGCGCATTTCAATCATGTCAGTGTGAAGACAAAGTGTTGACTAAACATGGCAAAATGTTTTTTCTGCAAATCTGTGTTTTGTTAGTCTCCATCATGGAAAGTCCAAAATAGGAACAATCACTTGTTTATATCAATTTTGTAGAAGTTTGAACTGAAAAAACATATTTGTTTTCTGGCTAGAATTTTATCACACACATGTAGTTTCAACAAAATTAAAACAGTATTTTGATCTTTAAAACCTGGTTTTGGGGTTGAAACTGGTTCAAATGCTATGAAAAATCTACTTAGTGGTATAGAACCTACATGTATCTGTTTTTCTGTGATCCAATTGAGGATGGCTGACTAGCAGCCATTTTTTTTGTTCTTTGCAGTAAATTGTTTTTTTTTTGTCTGTGACACCAGTAGTGTTTTACTGATTTATTTGACTTTTTTTTTTTCTAGAGCGAGCTGGTCCCGGCAATAAACCAACCGTAGGACAGATTGAATTAAGACTCATTAGTTGTAAAGATGATATTGAGCATCCGGGGAATAACGTGAAAGCTACAGTGATGGAAGTATAGCGCCCTCATTACCACTGAATTATTACAATCATGGCAATACATATTACAATAGACTTGTATACATACGTGTATATGATCATTTAGTTATTCAGGACTTTAGAAAAACAGAACCACAATGGATCACACATCAAAGTTTAAAAAAATGCATTGAAAGAGTGAGGCATGAGCCAGGCCAGAAATTTATGAAATAACGGTATGTAAATTTAATATTCACGTATGTTGCAATAATGATCTCAAGAGGTATGATCTGAGAAGTTCTATGCACCGTAAAAACTCTAAAATTTCGACCACTTTTAAATATTTCCTTTTGGAAAACTGTTGGGATTTTCAATAAAATTACAAATAAATTACAAAAATTCGCCAAATAATTAGGTGGTTGAATTTTTAAAGTAGATGAGTTTTTCCAGTATTTGCTGCAATCAAATATACTGTAAAATGACTAATTTTCACTGGGTTTGTATTTCGCTGATTTACCATTTCAGGCATATTCAGCGGGTTTAAATTCACGGTTTCGTCATTTAGATAATGTGTTCTATGCTAAATTTTACATATTCACTGGGTTTTAATTTAGCGCATTTTCCAGTCAGCGAAATAAGCAAAATTAAAACCCAGTCAAAATTATTCCTTTTCCAGTATTTGAACTGATGGTGTGACAAAAGAAAAAGATGAGATTATCGTTAAGATTCAAAAATGAATTTTTATTTTTTTAAATGTATATTTGCCTTGCAAATTTGTGTTACATCTTTAATTTGAATACAGTGAATCATCATCTTATACCACCAATCACATGCCCTTATCTCATAAGTTCTTGTCCACATATCTATGTATACCGGTAAAATACAACTTGACCTACCCTAAAACACCTATAGTAGAGAACAATAGAACACAAGTGGACTATGGACTTGTTTTATGTCAAATGAAACTCTATAAACAAAACACTTTATTCTGAACAATTTCTCAGTCTTGTTGATGTATGGTATTTCCAGTAATGCAAGAAAAGTTATTTGTTGTGTGTGTTTTTTGGATTTCCTTCGTTGAAGCATATCTCAGGAGTACATCGGTAGCGCTTGTCATTTATCTGTTTATAAGTATTGTAACGGACACATGGACTTGTGTCAATTTTACGAAAAGTGGACACAGCACTGAACAATTCAAATGGATACAGTAACAAGTACAGTGTTGTGCTTTTCTGTCCCAAATAGTTTGTCTGTTACATTTATTTTTGCAGAACCGATAAGTATAAAAATGATATATTTATAATATTATTCAAATTTGAGTCATTATATATGAAATTGTTTTCAATATGTATCTATTTATGTCGCTATTATATATCGCATTGAAACTGATACGCATCAAATTTGAGTGAATACTGTACATGCATTAATTATTCACTGGGTTTTAATTTTGCTATTTTTACTGATAAGTAAAATCCAATAAATTAAATCTACAGGTACATGTAAAATAACAATCATTGTTTCCCCTGGCAAATTCGTGAACTTAGAACACAGTGAATATTTTCAAAACCTCAAAATAGTAAAATTGTCAGTACCGGTACCGGTATATGCATAAAATTGGAACTGATCAAATTTTAAGCCTTCAAGTTCCAAGTAGGCTGATGCTACTCATTGGAAAACTGTGTTTTTAATATACCGGTAATTTGCTTTTTGTATTCCCTGCAATTAGGTGTGAGTAATTATTTGCTAGAAGACTATTTTTGTTGTATAATTATTTTTAATGCACATTTTAAGTTAATTTATGCACACTCAGATTAATGTTCTCCTTCAGTATAGATGGTCAGTCTGAATAACATTTATAAAGCAATGGTAGCTACGTAATTTGCATAAACAATGTGTTATATGCGTTAGGGACGACGTCAAAAGATCGATGTCGGATAAAAAACTTATTTGCTTTAGTTTGGGGGTGGGGGGGGGGGGTTGGCCTCAAAAGGTTTCCATCCTACAAAAACGATTTTATTTTTTAATGAAGTCAAAAAAAACTTGGAGTATTTATAGTTCGTTTTTTTCTGTTCAATCATAGACAAAAATAACAGAAAGTGAAAAAAAAACACCCAAGACGAGAAAACGGTTTGGCCCGAGTGTAAATATGTGCGTCAAATGAAATCAATTTCAGGGCAGACCTAGAGCATCCGCAGAACCCAGAAAGTAGTTTGCGCATGCGTATATTTCGCTTCATTATTACAACCAACTGCTATGCCATACTACTGTCCGATTATCAATTTGTATTTAATGGTGAATGTAGTCTGACGCCATGATCAATATTTATCAATTAAGTTTCAGTGGGAGGTAGGGGGTTTGGGGAAAAAACTAAAAGAATTAAGTTTTTTATCCGACAATCGATCTTTTGACATCGTCCCTTATGTACCAATATCACAACCCATACCTCACAAAAATAGTTGGTACACATCCTTACCTATGTAGTCGGAATAGAATGGGCTATGTTCCGGAGTTGTCTACTGTAAAATACTTTTATTTTACCTGGATTTAATTTTCGCTGAAAAGACTTTCTGCATGTTTTGCATGGAATTTATTTTCACTGATTTTTGACAAGTTGAATGTAAAATATAGGAAAAATGGTATATTCGCTGGATTTAATTTTCACTGAATCATTCCTTCAGCGAAAATAGCAAAAATTAATTCCAAGCAAAAAATCAAAAATAAAGTATTTTACAGTATTTCTAGAAATCAAAATGTATTTTTGTAAAAGTGAATGTAGGAAAACACGATAACGGGGAGTTTTTGTGAAATAAACAAGGAAATATTTTTTCTAAGGATTCTATTCTGTTGCAAAAACCACTGTAGAATGTGAATGCATGATACAACACGATATATAATCGTAAAATGCAAATATGGTGTACTTCTGTTCTCACTCTTAAAAATGAGTGACATTTTTGCAACACTTGTTCAGAAGCTTTTACAAATTACTGGGTACCAATTTCTTTTTGTGAGGGACTTCTCAGATTACACCCTAAATTGACAAACTAAAATTTTTGCAAAGATCTCAAGATATCACTTTATAAGCAAAGTTATTTCATGATGTATCTTCTAATACTTGTCCACCACAGAAAATAGTTAGTCAGAATTTCGAACCATGATGGATTGACCACATTTTAGGGCATCATTGATCATGTTTCTATTAATTTTGCAGGAGATTGAAGGTTATATTTTCCTTAGAAGTTTATTTCAACATCTGCTGTAATAAGTAACTTGAGATGTTTGTACTAGTTTTATTACTGTAAAAATACTTTATTTTAGCTGGAATTTATTTTTGTTGAAAAGACTTTTGGGTGTATGGAATTTATTTTCACTGATTTTGACGAGTTGAATGTAAAATATAGTAAAATATTCGTTTGATTTTATTTTGACTGAATCATTCCTTCAGCGAAAATTAATTCCAATGAAAATAAAGTATTTAAAAGTATTGAGGTGCAGTCATCTACATCCACAAAGTAATGGCCGCCTTGCTGTATTCATATCTTAACACTTTCCTGTTGGTTTATCAAAATGAATGTAGTGTATCGTATAATTATGTGGTATGCAGCATTGTGGGTACTGGAAGTGACATCATGCAGCATTGTGGGTACTGGAAATGACATGCTGCATTGTGGGTACTGGAAGTGACATCGTGCAGCATTGTGGGTACTGGAAGTGCCATCATGCAGCATTGTGGGTACTGGAAGTGCCATCATGCAGCATTGTGGGTACTGGAAGTGCCATCATGCAGCATTATGAGTACTGGAAGTGCCATCATGCAGCATTGTGGGTACTGGAAGTCACATCATGCAGCATTGTGGGTACTGGAAGTCACATCATGCAGCATTGTAGGTGCTGGAAGTGGCATACGGGATGCTAATTTTTGTCAAATCAAATGTTTTTAAATTACAAAACTTTTCTAAAGCAATAATTGCCTGGTTTGAAATGATAAAAAATTGAAATAATGTCAGCTTTTCTCTGCAAATTATCAGCTTCATGTTTTAACTTGTGTACATAGTAAATCTGACAGTGCCCTCAAGTGCTTGCATGATGAATAATAGTATTTGTTTTTATTAAGTATGTGAATAAATGAATTCTAAAACCATTGATTTTGTGTACATTTTATTGCCACTCGTAAACAGATTCCATGAATGTAATTACAAGAAACTTATTTATGGACTTTAAAGGAAAATTATTTACAACAGATAAGTTGTTACACTGCACATACAGAATTTAAAAAATATTCTAAATGTTTACGTAATGTAAGCACAAGTTCTTGGATACAGGATACATAATTCTGAAATTATGGAGTAATTTTATGAATCATAAATATGAAAAAAAAAAAGTGGTTCTGAAGTTGATAACCATGTCAGCTCGTGTTTTCGAGTGCTGTACAAAATTATCCTTGTATGCTCATGCACATCCTTATAAGGTAACATTATGCAGATGAACCAGTCATCAAGTTTATAATCATGAAGTGTGCAAAGCCATTCCTTATATGGTCATGCACATCCTTATAAGGTAACATTATGCAGATGAACCAGTCATATCAAGTTTATAATCATGAAGTGTGCAAAGCCATTCCTTATATGGTCATGCACATCCTTATAAGGTAACATTATGCAGATGAACCAGTCATATCAAGTTTATAATCATGAAGTGTGCAAAGCCATTCCTTATATGGTCATGCACATCCTTATAAGGTAACATTATGCAGATGAACCAGTCATATCAAGTTTATAATCATGAAGTGTGCAAAGCCATTCCTTATATGGTGCAACATAAATGGTAAAGCAACTTCAATAATTAATACAAAATATTATAACTGAAGTGTATTTACTAGTTGTCAAGGCATGAAATGAAGCATGTATATTGATATTGATAAAAACAAAGTTGAGATTCACCGATAAAATAAATGAGTGAAAGCAATAAATAAAAAGATTATATCAAAAGAAAAATCTGACTAAATAGAACTGATTTTTTTTGAGTGACCAGCAAGCGCCATACATGTAGATTATTGTTAATTCTAAGATCACCTTGATCATGTCTCAAGCTAATTAATATTTTAATTAATCAATTTAAAAAAAAAAAAAATTAACATTTATTATTTTACACCCACATGATACACAACTTATGAGCCTTTTGAGTTCTAATCATGCAACAATGTTGAGACGCGCATGGCAAACCAGTCAACAACTTTGTTTAGAATGCCCGAAACAAAATGGCGGTGATTGTACTCCATGCAGCAATAAGCAAAAATAAAATTAAAGGGTTGTGGTTGTCACACAGCACATGTTCGAATTGCATTTAAACAAACAATGTATTTTACATATGTTACGAGTCCCATATCGTACACTCTATGGTACGTAACATACAATCACAATTGTTTTAGTAAAAATAACGATTTACGAATATAAAGAAAACCACCATTATTTGATTGTATATTCAAATGACAGATATGCAAATTAGAAACTTGCTATGCCGAATATTTTCTGGTACATTAATTTTACTATGCATTCACTCTAATAACAGAAAAATACAAAATGAATGAAAACAATCACCATGGGTGCAAACAAATGTAAATAAACCACATCTAAGATATCTTGATGATAGATATGAAAGCATTGTTGGGAATAGCCATAAAACTGAATTAATTATCAAATAAATTAACATATGACATGAATACAAACTCATGGAGATTTCAGTAATGCAAATTAAGTTGAAACTGAGATATAGTTTTAGTGATACAATTACCTAGTATATAAGAAAACTAATAAAACTAATCTGACTGGCCATTATAAACTATGAAATCATTTACTGGCACAGAAATTGATATTCCTGAAAAGCAATTTGACATATGACATGAAATTTCTAGTAGGTTTCTGAGATGCAAAATAATTATTTTAGCTGGAATTAATTTTCACTAAATTGAGTTTTTGGTCTTGTATGGAATTATGGTATTTTCACTGATATTTGACGAGTTGAATGTGAAATATAAAAAAAAAAGAAGGTATATTCACTGAATATTATTTTCACTGAATCAAAAATAGTGACAGCAAAAATAGTGAAAATAAAGTCTTTTACAGTATTTACTTTGCTTGCATTGTATTCACCGAATTACACCAAGCAACAATTCAATAATCTACAGTAGTACTGTATATCATATTAGTCGAGCCCAGATTCTTGAGAAATCAGTGGACCAAATTTGAGCATACAAATAATACAAACATGCATACAGATGTCATCATGACATTAGCCCCTATTTTGTGCTCTGCACACACAACAGCAGCGGCAAAAAATGCATAAATATAAAATTTAAATTCTTTTGAATTATTAATTGTATACACCTGGTGAGTAATTAAGTTTTTTTTTTTATAAAAAAAAATTATTATAGCACTCCAGAAATAGTAAATTAATGTCAGGATAAAGAGTTATTTTTTGAAATGTACATAATCTGATGAAAGGATTATTCTTGCTTTAAAATTAAAAACGACTACTACAGTTTTGTTGAATATCAATATTTGACACTCAGCTATTTGATAATTGACCCAGAATTACAAATTTAAACTTGATTATTTATTTTTCATATTTCTTTCTAGATCAGTACTGGATGTCTGCAAAACTGGACACAACCAATAGATGAGTTGGAGTAAAAAAAAAAAAAAAAAAAAAGTCCCTAAAAAATGTTCTGTATTGTTAATGTGTCTGTCACTAACTTTTATTTCTGGTTTCCATGACAACTAGAATTTGTTAATTATTGATTTGTAGATAAGATTTATTATATTTACATATTTATATCTTCATGAATCTGAGAATTATTCAGGTTATAAGTTTTGGCCGTTTCACCTTTATATAAAAAGCGCCACTAAGTGGTGAATTGCATAATTTAAACAATCAACCTGTGAGGGCACTGTAGTAATGTTACTCGTCATATTCGTTAACAATGAAGTTATAAACAAATGATGCCTTTTTCCTGGCAATTTGTTGTATAGCTGCTTGTCTTCTGTTGGGGGGTACTTGGAGAACTTCCTTTCCCGGTGGTGGTCTCAAGAACAATTCACCTAGCAATGTAGCTACAAGAAAAACCAAAGAATAGTATATTTAGTTTAAATAGCTGAATCATTTCTCAACTTTTTATCATCTCATTAATGTATTCATAATTTATTATCATCATATTCTCAGATTCATGAAGATATAAATTAGTGCCCCATAATTTTTGCAGTCATCATCAATATTATCATCATCATTATCACTGTCATCATTATCACTGTCATCATCATCATCATCATCATCATCATCATCATTATCATCATCATCATCATCACCACCTCATCATCAATATTATCATCATCATCATTGTCATCATTTACACTAAATTCAAATTATACTCACCAAGTGTTTTCTCATGCAGTTTGCTCTCTTCCTTATATAGCAGTAACTCCCTGGCAAATGCTGTTAAATATTTAAAAACATTCCGATGGCTCCTAGGAATCTGTGATAGCACCTGTCATCAAAAAGGTAGATTCAGAGGCGTGGTTCTTAATGTCAGAATGTTAAAGGGTGGTGGTCGTCAAACCCTGCATGTGTATCATTTATGCTGATAAACATTGACTCTCCCACAATCAAGTGTGCTCTTCTCATGGAAATCACAAGTTTTTGATATGTGTGCGACGTCAACTAATTATCTTTGGTGACTCGTTCAATACCTTCCAGCCACGAAAGAAATTACCGAAGTAAAGCTTGGTAATGTCTCAGCTTGTACTCATTTGTCTGTGCAACAGTCGCCATCTTTGTTTATATGAGACCCATATCTCGCACAGAGTGCACCACACTTTAACATATTAACATTGCATGACCCCCCCCCCCCCACCACGCATGAAAATGCATCTGGATTACGCATAGCTTCTCTGCCATTTACGCTTCATAAATTTTAAGCGAAGCTTGGACCCCCCCCCCCCCCCCAATACATTTTGCTGGATCCGCCCCTGGCACATTTGCATATTCATAAAAAACAGTTTTACTAAGCTCAGCACATGTTACGAACGGTAAGTTAATATCTTGTACAACTGGTCGTGAAATAAAATGGTGTCATTATAAATAGTATCAAACAGATCACACCAGTAAAGTCAACAAAGCTCAGAAATGTACAACAGTTACAATTACGTCTCAAACCTGTCATTTAAATGTATATACATTGTAGTAGCAGAGAAAACACTGACCTGTTTACAAAGTACAAAGTTATTGGAACAATCCAGACATTTCTGGTAATACACATATGGTATGACTGGCTCTCGTAACGCCGCAATGAACTCCAATAAAGCTTCCGCAACAGAATGAATGCTACCGGCTATAAAGCGATGAAGGTTAAGGTGAATACAGGCGTGATCAACAAAGAAATTCTTTCTTCAAATCCAATGGAAAAAGATACAATGTAACAGAGGTATGCAATCAAAATACAATGTGTTGCTTTCACCTGCTGGGTTGAACCAACAGAGGAAGGCAGAGACTACAAGTAAGTAAGCACGTATTCTTGTTCAGACACAGATTGCCATGTGAATGTCATGTGATGTTGCTTGCTACACTATCCCCTGATTTGG